TATTCATTCATTCATTCATTCATTCATTCATTCATTCATTCATTCATTCATTCATTCATTCATTTATTTATTTATTTATTTATTTATTTATTTATGACACTTAAATCCAATGACCCCTGAAAACAAAATTAAATTCCAAGAAAATGAAATGCCCCCCAAAAAGTAACATTTAATGATTTAGTTGCAAGTGAATTTTAAGACGCAAAAAGAAATATAAAAAGGGCATAAAAACAAATGCAGGAACTAAAAATTTCAAGACAAAAAGTCTGAAACCAAATTAAAATTGGAGGAAAATATATATTCGTGCACACTGTAAAAAGGCTGCAGCCATCTTCACAGGTTTGGCTTGCTCCAGCGCCCCCCTACCACCCCCTTCTGCTCCAGCGCCCCCACGCTGCCCCTTTTCATTCTACCGCCCCCCTGAAAAATGAAATCACCCACTGGGGGGCATTATCGCCCACGTTAAGAACCACTGGTGTAGCTAATCACTTGGGTACGATGCTGGCATGTGGCAGAAAGATGAAGCACAGGAATTGACCTATGTGTGTATAGAAAGGATAGGGGAAGGTGATGAGACAAGAGAAAGGAATTAATAGGATGATGATATGGAGTGGGAAGGAAGTAGGGTCCTGGACAGGAGAGGAGACAGTAGAAAGATGAGGCAGGAGAGGAGAAGCAGAAAGATTAAGATGATTAGTACAGGACAATGGAAAGAGAAGGGTGAGGAGACAGGGAGATCATGAATGGGGGAGAGAAGGGTGCAGTGAGGACATAAAATATGCAGCTGAAAGATCTTGAGAGACGTCATGCTATCCTTTAATTAATTATTAGATTCATTTTGTACATATTAATTTATGTATTAATATTAGTATAGTCACCTTGAGTTCCAGTTTTGGAAGAAAGAAAGAGTAAGAGAGAAGGAATGTTGAACTGAATTTACTGAACGGCTTCAATGAAGTTTAACTGTACAAACCACCATCCAGTGCACAAAAAACCCTGATTTTTTTTTTTAAAAGGCATTAACTCCTTAACTTCAAAAAACAAACAGATAAATAAACCAGACAAGACCACTGAGAGAGCCATTTCCAGTTGCAAGTGGATCAAGTACAATAAAGAGCATTGTGGTCTCAAAGATTGATGAATTTTACTTGGCAGAAGCTTTCGAGGACTGTTGCCTAATTGGCCACAGACCACAAAAGTTTCTGCAAGTAAAACTTATTAGTCTCTAAGGCAGAATAGCACACTTTGGTGTCTTTGCTGCAACATCTGCTAACATGGCTCACCTAATGGAAGAACGGGGGATACTTGAAATACAAAATGGCACACACACCCTGTATCCTTAACAGCAGTGTAGAAGCATTGTCATGCAGCTACACCTCTCAAAGGTCCCTTTCCCACACAAATATTAAAGGTTCAGGAGCCTTGTCCACTGTTTTATGCTGTCACCCTGTAACTGAAAATAGATAAGTTACACTGGTGAGATTGTCTGAAAATATGGTGTCAACTGTGGTGATAAAGACAGACTCTTTTGTATCACAGCTTGGAAAAATACCTTTTTTGGTGGGGGGCATATAGTTCCTGGAATTTCCCAAGGCAGCATAGCCACCACCCATGCTGAATGGAAGACTCAGGGACTTGTAGCTGAGATGAAACAGTCCTACCTTCAGGATATACTTTCCACATTATCTTGTCTGTCAAGGGACCCCTTGAGATCTTCTATGGGAATTCTGTGCCATGGGAAGGATTCTCGTAGAAGTTGTAAGCCAAAGGACAGAGAGACACAATTATGAATTAAAGCCCAATGAGGTACTGTTACCAAGAGTCTGTTCCTCAGAGTGTGTTGTGAGATATTTGCAGGCTCGAAGTTACAGTGGAAAGTTGGAAACAGGTGCATTGATAAAAAGAAAAGGGACATGGAGTTCTAAACCAAAGGTGGCATCAAAGTAAATCAGGATGATAAGATATTGGAATGATCTGATAGAATGGCAGGGCAAACTCCTGCAACCACATCACCATTGTCAAATTAGCAGCATTCTGTTCTCTGAGATTTCAGGTCAAAGTGTGAGACCCAGAGAATGAACCTCAGAACTTGAGTTTCACAGTAAAGCTTCAAAGTATCATTCTTATTTTGCTTGATTTCTAGGGATATGACATTTGGGATTTTTTAAAGTCCAAATTCCAGAATTCTGGCAGTTCCAGCTCACAAACACAGGCCTGCAGACACCTTCCTTTCACTCATCAGGGGCCTCTTCTAGGCCTTATTTCCTGCTTCGATGCATTTTGGGAGAAGGCTGTTGCAAAGGTTCCAGGTGGTGGTGGTCTTGGTGCCCTTTATGCTCTATAGGAAGGCTCCTCCTGAAGAACCACCACTCCAGGGCACACTGGGGAAGGAAATAAAGCTCAGAGGAAGACCCCAGCCTTTCTCCGGATGAGTGAAATGAAGGTGTCTGTAAGTGAGTGTTAATGGACCAGAACTCGAATTCTGCCTTGGGAATTCTTGGAGAATTCTAGGTTTTGGATTTTAAAAAACCCTGAATGGTAGGTATCTCTCTACTGTGGAACACACTCCCCACTCGGCTGTGGAACACACTCCCCACTGAAATCCGGCTGGCACCCTCGCTGGGGGTTTTCAAAAGCCAATTAAAAACTTGGTTGTTTAAACAGGCCTACCCCCCCAGTCAATTAAGTGATTTTCCTTTTCTTTTTCTCTATCTTTTTTCTTTCTTTCTTTCTTTTGTATACCACTATCTTGGAAACCTTTTTATTTAGAACTAATTAGTATAAATGCATTTTATATGTTTTTTAACTTGTTTTAATTGATGTAAGCCACCCCGAGTAGACGTTGTCTAGAGGGGCGGGGGAAAAATCGAATAAATAAATAAAATAAATAAATAAATACTGGTTTCTGCAGGCACTATGTTCTTATGATTAGAAATTGCAGCTTTTCAGTCACTCTTTCTGAGCCCTGCATATATTTCTAGTGGTTGGGAAAATTACATTTTTTGGAGTACAACTCCCAAAAATAAGCATGCTGTCTTGAAGATTTTGGAAGTTGTGATCCTAATGATGATGATGATGATGATGATGATGATGATTAGGCATGGATCCAAGGAGAAGCCCTTTCTTATTCCAGCTTCCCAAGTTTACACCCAGCCTTGAAGATTAAGGGTCAAACCAGATAATATGTTTACCACATACTTAGAAGAGATGGTCCCTTAATCATGGAAAGGTGCCATGATGCCATAGCACATGAGTTTCTTCAGTGGCATAGCTTGCATTTTGAGAACTGAGTTGCAGAAAGCATTACTGATGAAATGTAGTCTAGGAATGAATTATGGGTTAATTGTGGGGAATATGCATTCCCTTTCCCTTCAGATTTAATCCTATTCCTTACATTACTGGAGAGCTATATCTCCATTTCTCCAGAATGAGCACGTTGACCAGCCTGTGTTATCAGGCATACCACGAGGTGGCTTGCAGGTCGAATAAAGCAACGTTGGGCTGCTCTCCAACGATACACCCAAGTACTGAGAAACTGTTTTCATTTTTGGGGAGTGAGGTCAGAAAGGCAAACTGTGAGTCCATGACATGACAAACGCAAAACTGGCAAGGAGCTGTGCACAATTCACTGTGGCTTGAGGAAGGACAAACAATTGTTTACATATGCTCCATTTTCTTCCTCCTGAAGCCTAAAAGAGCAAAATTTTCTTCATGCAAAGTGAGTTGGAACTCAGTAAGAAAGAATTATACTTTTATTTTTATTTTTTTAATTAAATCTATGAACCACCTTAGACCTTAGTCTGTAACGTAATGTCTGTTTTATTTGTTCAGTGTCCCTTCCTCTACCTCCTCCATTCTTTTTCTCTTTGAATCCTTCTCTCTCACCCTTGAGCATCCATACATCCTCATCACTTACATCCGGCAAGTACACGAATCACATTTGTGCCTGGCATTGTTTTTGTGCCGGTTGTTTCACCATGACAGATCTTGAACAAAATCAGAGAGCCCTTTCATATTACTTTGTCCCAACAAAGTTTTTCCATTGAATTGTCTCACACTTTGCATTGTGATTTATCAACTGTCATGAAGGATCAAAAATGTGGATGTATGCCCCCTGTTGTGGCCCACCAGCATGAACCTTTGCTTTAAAGATGGAAATAAATGCAACTGAGCACAGTGCAACATAGTCCACTTAGAGTACAACCAAAGATGTTTTTTTTTTAAAAAAAGTAACTTGCAGAATTATCCAGGCAGCTGGATAAGGGATTATGGGAATTGCCATTCAAAAAAAGGATTAATACAGACACCCCACACACATATACCCCGAATACAGCCTAGTTTTAGCTTATGACCCAGGAAGCCTATAAAGTTAGAGCAAAGCAAATAAAACAGCTTTCCTGCACCAACTCAAGCATCCCTAATAATGGTGTACTGACCACTGTTACTCCTTTGGCACAAGCTAGCTTAGGCAAGCCTGTATTCTGGCTGATTTGCTACATTAATGACTCACACGGGAGACAGGCGGAAGTCATGTTTTTCACATGCTGATTTCTCTTTTGCTCAGGAGAACTGCTGCTTTAGCAAACTTTCCTCCCTGTTCTAAGAGTTTTGTTAATAGTCCGGCTCTTTAAAAAAGAGACATCAGCCTATTGTTTTCAAATGGCAGGTTCTTTTTAGCTGTACTTTTTTTCTTAAATTTTTTAAAGCACTATAACACTTGAGGTGGTGCGCACTCAGGATTAATGATATTTTTCCCCATCTTGAACTACATTACTATTGTTGTGTTTTACTTTATTATATTGTTTTTACTCTATTTTTTATTGTTAGCCGTCCAAAGTAGACTTCGGTCTAGAGGGGCAGGGTAGAAATTTAATAAATAAATGAAAGAAATAAATATGTTTCATTGCATCTTGACTACATAACATTCTTAAACTGTGCTTCTTTTATTATTATTTTCTTTTTTTTGGAGGGGGAGAGAAAGTAATATTCTGTTATACATTTTAATTAAGAAATGAACATATTTGATGATGTTGCACTGGATCTTTCAAGGGGCTCCAAATGAGAATCTGCAACAGGATGAGGGATTTGGTGTGACTCATCTCCCCTTTCATTATCCTTCCATCCATTCATCCATTCATGTATTCATTCATGTTTTCTAAAATGAGACGGCTCTTCCATGCCAAATCCACACCAGTCAAAAGACTGAAGATGCACTGAACTTTGGAGAGGATTTTTCTGTACGCCTCTATTCTGCTGATCGTGCGTTTTTCCCCCCTCTGTTGGCTTGCAGGGCTCTTTGTACAGCCAGGCATAGTGTCATCAATGAGAAATACAGTCCCAGGGAAATGCTGGATAAATCCTAGCCATCAGTCATTCTGGCACAGAATTGATTTATACTAAACCCTACTAATCCACTGTATAGCAAATGTTTGGCTCCATGTAAATCTGCCACCATCCAATGCATTGTCACTCAAACCAAGTTGAAGTGTCTGCCTGTCATTTACTTGGACATGTGTCACTTATTTCATTTTAACACCAGAAGGCAATGGCAATCCCCTGTCTTTCCAAGCCAGAGTCTGGAAAAGTTACTTTGTACACTTCAACTCCCAGAGTTCCTAAGCCAGCATGGCCAGTTTAGACACAGTGATTCTCCAGTGTCCTGTATTGTAGGTCATTCTCATCTGCTAGACCTTTGGCAAACTATGGCAAAATCCCTAAGACAGAACTAGGCAATTCTGTAGTCAAAAACTCTCCCCAGCAAAAATTAAGGATTTGTTGCTTTGTGTTGTAAAGTTGCTCATACTTTATAGGGACCTAATAGGGTTTTCAAGGCATGTGAGAGGCTCAAGGAATGGTTTTCCATTGTCAGCTTCCAGAGAGTTTCTATGGCCAAGTAGGAATTTGAAGGCAAGCCTCCTTCTATCCTCTATACCACACTGCCCCTTTATAGCATTAAGGATGGCTAAATAAATAAATAAATCCCTACCTGAGCTCAAAAGTGGAAAAATCATTTCTCATTCTGTTTCCTGACTTGGGACCAAAAGATTGAATTTAACATTTCTACTTTTTAAGGAAAGAACAGTAACCCCTGTCTCGACGAATCTGGAAATCAAGAAGCTGAAGCGCAGGGAAATGTTGCAAAGTTACAAAACCAAAGTTTGTAAAAGTTCCTTTTATTTTTTTTTTTACTCCACCTCCAGAATGCCCCAGCCAGATGCTGGGAGATTCTGGGAGTTGTTGTAGTCTAAAAAGGGGGATTTTCCAAACGTTATCAAAACGCAAAAAGCAAAGCATAGCTTGGGGGCTGTGAGTTCTAACAAGACCCCAATCCTTAAGATGCTGTTAAGGAGCAGATGCCAGATAGAGAGAGAGAGAGAGGGAGAGGGAGAGAGGGAGAGAGAGGGAGAGAGAGAGATTATGGGTTATATGCTCACCATTTGTAGCCTCTGCCTTGCTTAAACTTGAGCGTGAACACAGTTTCCAAGCAGAGGAGGAGATTAAGCAATGCCAGCAACCAATATTTCGGTTCCTTCTTCACTTCCGTCACTCTCCAGACCCCAAGGAGGGAGTGCAGGACAAAGAGCAGCCGAGTTCCCAAGGCATTCAGCAGCACCAGCAGCTCCATCCTTTGCTGCCTTCTCCCCCAAGCCCCTCTGTCACCTCCTCCCCTTCTCCAGTTCCCTGTCTGGAACCCAGGGCCTCTCAGCAGCCAAAGGAAGAGATGCTGGACGCTCGGCTGTCTACAGCACAGCAGTCAGCCAGCTCTTTCCTCTCATTCCATCTCCACAAAGGGGCCTTCATTATTATTACAAAAAAGAAAAAGAAACTGCTTTGTCCCTCCCCCAGACTTCCTGACAACTCTTGGGGAGAAAGGGAGGGGAGGAATCAGCAGCAAACACGGCCAAAGACCTAACGTGGTTTCAATGGCAGGACTGAGTGCTGGCTGAGTTTATTAGAACTATGACTGGCTAACGTCACATGAACACACACGGTCACTGTGTTAGAAAAGGCTCTCTTTCCTGCTGCCTCTGTATCGAAGCCACATATGGCCGTTTGCTTCTGAGTTCCAAAAAGAGGTGAGTTTAGTAAGAAGAGGAGGAGGAGGAAGAAAATAAAAGTAATTGTTTCTGAATATACAACTCAAATAGCCAAAGAAGAAGAGGAGGAGGAGGAGGAAGAAAATAAAAGCAATTGTTTCTGAATATCCAACTCAAATAGCCAGGATGAGCTCCCTTAGTTTAAGAGCTCCTTAGTGCAGAATAATGCCATAACCCCATAGAAGGTAATGGATGCCAGTAGATGCTTAATGGATGTCTCTAACTAAAATTTAATGGAGACCTCTTAATGGAAGCCACTAATTTGAACAAGTTCCTTCTTTGAAATTTCAAGTTATCCCACATTAAGTATTTATCTCTGTACTATCTGCAGAATCACACACGTTATTATTTTTTAAGACTTCTTGGAAGCATGTCCCCTTCTTTTTTCCTAGATAAAAAAAAATTGTAGGCCGTCTGATTTGAATCAAGTTCCATCATAGACATTGACATGGCCTGCATGACAGATTCATTAGGGTCTTTGGGCAGTGGCTGGATTTTCATTAGGACTACAGCTTGCTAATGCTACTTGTCAATTCAGGATTGAACATAAATATGTTGGTTATTGGTGTATTTCAGCCTTCCCCTGTGCATCTGTGGGTAGAATTTTAGCCTTACAACAAACCTGTAAGACAGATCAGGTAGAGAGACAGGGATTTGCCAAAAGATAGACAAATTTTTGAATAAAGATGTGAAGCAGGGTTTTTACACAACAAGAAGGTCATCATTCTAGCTTGTTAAGTACATGATAAGCCTGCTCACCATCTTTCTATAACCGATGTGTCAACATTTAAGGTCATCAGGTGTCAGGATACCAGCTGGTCTCAGAGAACTATGCTTCTCTGGGTCTGCTGGCTTTTCTGGAGACGTTAGGCACCCATTTACACCATCTCCCATCTACCACTAGAGTGCATTTTGGAGGATGGGAAGATATGTTTCCCTCAGGCAAACTTTCCCTCAGTAACTCAGCAACTGAGTGTGAGTTTTATGCATTACTGCTTTGGCTGTGTTCTTGGTACTGCTTATGTTTACCATTTCTCAGAGTCATATTTGTTTGTTCCTTTTTAATATTTGCATATTTATCATCTTAGCTTAATATTGTCTTTTAATGATATAAGCTGCCTTTTATAATTGTACTTAGCTTTAAATATTGTCTTTTAATGATGGAAGCCACCATTGTATACTCATTGTTTTTAGCTTTAAATGTTATATTTCAATGGTGTGAGTCATTTTGGGTCCTTTTTAAGGAGAAAAGCAGGGTAAAAAAATATCTTAAATAACTAAATAATAAGCCAACTTTCCTCCAAAAGTCCTTTTTCTCTGGGTTTAGGTTACGATGTTGCCTGGTTAGCTGGGTTAACATTGTAACCTTAAGCCCATTTACTTTGATCCCCTTGTGCCTGTTTCGTACAATCAGCTTCCCAGAACCAGCCATTGCTTGTCCCATCTCTGTGACGTTACAAGTCCCTGCCTCCAGTCTCCGGTTTTAGCCGTAAAATTCCATGGAATGAGATGCTGCGGATACCGCAATCACTTGCGGTCCCTGATCTATCACAGGTCCAACACCCCAGATATAGCCTTTCTGAAGCAAAAGCAATGTAATTCCTCCAGGACATTGCATGAGGCAGAATACATGAAGGAAATGAGACCACAGTCCCAACATAATTTTTCGAAACCAGTACAATAGAGATGACTGGTTGCTCATC